TGAAATCCATTGGGATATTCCCGCGTATGTTCGAATCCTACTGGCTGCTTTAAATTTTAAATCTCAGTCTGTAGCTTACATATAAGTTTTTGTGACAAAAAAATAACTTTCACGAAAAATGATATAAAAAAAATACATTGGTACTATTAATTGAGTTACAAAGAAAAGTAAGCTCTTTTAGTTACTTTTCAAAAAATGGTTTCTAATAATCTTGAAATTAAAAGTTTTACTTAAAACAACAATTCCTTTAGGAATAGCTCATAAATTTGATCAATATGTCTGCAAAAAGAAATTTTTGTTAAATGGATTGACTGAGAAATCATTTTGATCATTACCAATCAGATAGGAAAAGTAGCACTCAGAAGACGATGGCTTTGTGTTCAAAACGAATGCAGTTTTTATTGCAACAAAGCTTAGTTTGGAGTTCAATTGTTTTTCATATAGTATTTGAGGACTAACATGTTGCTAGAGGAAAAGTAGACAAGCAGTCGTGGCCGAGAGGTTAAGGCGATGGACAAGAAATCCATTGGGATCTTCCCGCGTAGGTTCGAATCCTACCGGCTGCGTTAAATTTTAAATCTTAAGCGGTAGCTTACATGTAAGTTTTAGTGACAAAGAAATAACTTTCACTAAAAATGAATAAATGAAAAAAATACATTGGTACTATTAATTGAGTTACAAAGAAAAGTAAGCTCTTTTAGTTATTCTTCAAATAAAGGTTTCTAATAATCTTGAAATTAAAATTTTCACTTAAAACAACAATTCCGTTAGGAATAGCTCATAAATTTGATCAATATGTCTGCAATACGAAAATTTTGTTAAATGGATTGACTGAGAAATCATTTTGATGATTACTAATCAGATAGGAAAAGTAGCACACCGATGAAGATGACTTTGTCGTCAATAAGAATGCAGTTTTTAAAGCAACAAAGCTTAGTTTGGAGTTCAATTGTTTTTCATGTAGTATTTGAGGACCAACATGTTCCTAGAGGATAAGTAAGCAAGCACTCGTGGCCGAGTGGTTAAGGCGATGGACTGGAAATCCATTGGTATCTTCCCGCGTAGGTTCGAATTCTACCGACTGCGAATTACAATCAGTAGATTCTTAATTTTTATTTAATTTTCTTTCTAGTTTCGCCCATCTTAATGAACAGATATAAGAAAATGCTGAGCAGTCGTGGTCGAGTGGTTTAGGCGATTCACTTGAAATCCATTGGGATTTTCCCACGTAGGTTCGAATCCTATCAGCTCCATTAAATTTTAAATCTTAGTCAGTAGCTTACATATAAGTTTTTATGACAAAAAAATAACTTTCACGAAAAATGAAAGAAAAAAATACATTGGTACTATTAATTGAGTTACAAAGAAAAGTAAGCTCTTTTAGTTACTTTTCAAAAAATGGTTTCTATTAATCTTGAAATTAAAATTTTTACTTCAAACAACAATTCCGTTATGAATAGCTCATAAATTTGTCCAATATATCTCCAAAAAGAAAAGTTTGTTAAATGGATTGACTGAGAAATCATTTTGATGATTACTAATCAGATAGGAAAAGTAGCACTCAGAAGACGATGGCCTTGTCTTCAATAAGAATGCAGTTTTTAATGCAACAAAGCTTATTTTGGAGTTCAATTGTTTTTCATGTAGTATTTGAGGACCAACATGTTGCTAGAGGAAATGTAGACAAGCAGTCGTGGCCGAGTGGTTAAGGCGATGGACTAGAAATCCATTGCGATCTTCCCGCGTAGGTTCGAATCCTACCGACTGCGAATGACAATCAGCTGATTCTTAATTTTTATTTAAATTTCATTCTCGTTTCACCCATCTTAATGAACAGATATAAGAAAATGCATAGCAGTCGTGGCCGAGTGGTTAAGGCGATTGACTTGAAATCCATTGGGATAATCCCGCGTATGTTCGAATCCTACCGGCTGCGTAAAATTTAAAGGTTTAGTCAGTAGCTTACATATAAGTTTTTGTGACAAGAAAAAATATCTTTCACGAAAAATGAAATAAAAAAATACATTGGTTCTATCAATTGAGTTACAAAGAAAAGTAAGCTCTTTTAGTTACTTTTCAAAAAATGGTTTCAAATAATCTTGAAATTAAATTTTTTTCTTAAAACAACAATTCCGCTATGAATAGCTCGAAAATTTGTCCAATATATCTGCAAAATAGAAATTTTGTTAAATGGATTGACTGCGAAATCATTTTGTTGATTACTAATCAGAGGGGAAAAGTCGCTGTCAGAAGAGGATGACTTTGTCTTCTATAAGAATGCAGTTTTTAATACAACAAAGCTTAGTTTGGAGTTCAATCGTTTTTCATGTAGTATTTTGGTACCAACATGTTGCTTGAGGAAAAGTTAGCAAGCAGTCGTGGCCGAGTGGTTAAGCCGATGGACTAGAAAGCCATTGGATTATTCCCGCGTAGGTTCGAATCCTACCGGCTGAGTTAAATGTTAAAACTAAGTCAATAACTTTCATGTAAGTTTTTGTGACAAAAAAAATAACTTTCACGAAAAATGAAAAAAAAAAATACATTGGTTCTATTAATTGAGTTACAAAGAAAAGTAAGCTCTTTAAATTACTTTTCAAAAAATGGTTTCTAATAATCTTGAAATTAAAATTTTTACTTAAAACAACAATTCCGTTATGAATAGCTCGAACATTTGTCCCATATATCTGCAAAAAGAAAATTTTGTTAAATGGATTGACTGAGAAATCATTTTGTTGATTACTAATCAGAGGGGAAAAGTCGCAGTCAGAAGACGATGACTTTGTCTTCAATAAAAATGCAGTTTTTAATGCAACAAAGCTTAGTTTGGAGTTCAATTGTTTTTCATTGTAGTATTTGAAGACCAACATGTTGCTAGTGGAAAAGTTAACAAGCAGTCGTGGACGAGTGGTTAAGCCGATGGACTAGAAATCCATTGGGATCTTCCCGCGTAGGTTCGAATCCTACCGACTGCGAATGACAATCAGCTGATTCTTAGTTTTTAATTAATTTTCATTCTAGTTTCGCCCATCTTAATGAACAGATATAAGAAAATGCCGAGCAGTCGTGGCCGAGTGGTTAAGGCGATGGAATTGAAATCCATTGGGATTTTCCCGCGTATTTTCTATTCCTACCGGCTGCGTTAAATTTTAAATGCTTAGTCAGTAACTTACACCTAAGTTTTTGTGACAAAAATATAACTTTCACGAAGAATAAAATAAAAGAAATGCATCGGTTCAATTAATTGAGTTAAAAAGAAAAATAAGCTCTTTCAGTTACTTTTCAAAAAATGGTTTCTAATAATCTTGAAATTGAACTTTTACCTATATTAACAATTTTGTTATGAATGTGTCAAAAATTTGACCAATTGTTCTGCAAAAGGAAAATTTTCTTAAATGGACTGACTGAGAAAGCTTATTTTGTTATTATTAATCGCAGAACAAAAGTAGCACTCAGAAGACGAGGACTTTCTGCACAATTAGACTGCAGTGTTTTAATGCAACATGGTTTATTTTAGAATTCAACTGTTTTACATGTAGTTTTTGAAGACCAGTATGATGCTAGGGCAAAAGTAAACAGGTAGTCGTTTCCGAGTGGTTAAGGCGGTTGGCTAGAAACTGATAGGGATCTTCCAGCGTTATCTCGAATCCTACCTTTGTGCTAAATTTTAAAGCCCAGACTGGAAGCACACATAACTCTTTTTTGGGACGACTAGAAATTTTTTCAAAAGTCTTTAATGAAACTTTCAAAAATAAAACGTTGGAACAATACTCAGGCTATTCTTATTGAATTAGATAATGAGATTAGCTCCAATTATTACACTTCAAAAAATGAGCTCAAATTAAGTGTTCTTCAATTTATTAGCCGTAATTTCGTTATTCGTGTTTCGATCACTAGTTAAATCTCTCTAAAAAATAGTAAAATTTTGTTGATGGGACCGACTAGTTTAATGCGTCAAAACTTATTTTGCACTCCGATTGTTTTAAATAATGCAGTTGAAGATCAGAATGTATTTTATACTCAAGTAAACAAGCAGTTGTGGCTTAGTTAAGGTGATGGACTGGCGATCCATTTTGATCTTCCCGCTTACGTTAGAATCCTACCGACTGTGAAAGTGAAACAGAGGAGTATTCCATTTTTCGTTTCATTTCATTCTAATTTTCACCCAGTCTTCGAAACAGAATATATTGAGTGCCGAGCTGTCATGGCCCAATTGATTAATGCCATGGACTTGAAATTTACTAATGAATAGAATCAAATATAGACTTGAAATCTAATAAACCAGGGTAAATAAACTAGAAATTAAAATGATTATTTAAAAAAAATGAGGAATGTGTTGCGAACGTGTCGACAAACTGTCTAATTTATTTTTTAAAAAATTATCTTAATGGGACCACCAACTAATAGTGTTATGGGACCACCAACTAATAGAGGGTAAGGACTTTTTGCAGAATGAGAATGCAATTAGAAAACCATATAATTACCTAATACAATTAGAAAACCAAAGGGATTTTCCGGCGTAGGTACGAATCTTACTGGCATTGTTTAGTTTTTTAGGTCAATCAGGAAGCTTACATCTAGGAAATCTGAAAGCTAGTCTTATAAATGCATTTTTACCAGTTTTCACAGAATTTCACTTCAGTGTAAGAAATTGTAAAATTATCTTTATTGGTTCGTTTAAATCATTTACATTTTCACATAATTTCTGATATTATTGTTCAATACCCTTTAATGGTTATCGAGATATGTATTTTCAATAAATAAGTGTAGGAAATTTCATTTGCCTGCAATCCATAAGCCTTAAATTTCATTTTTAATAATTCGATAGAGCGAAAATATTCAATTTTTATGACTTTACCTTCTCATTTAAAAAATAAAATTGTTGTACAATATTATGCAGTAAAAATTATCTTAGTCAAAAAAATGCTTTGAAAAATTACGTTTTGATTCTAAAGTCAAAATTTTTAAAAATGCTGATTATTAATTTATAGAAATCTAAGAAATAAAGAAAAAAATCAAATATGTTTATTTTCGTGAGTTTTGATTGTCTTATTCCAAATAGCTGTAGCATTAAACGGCCAATATCTAGGGGAAATTTCTGCTATAATCCAGGGTAAAGGATTAACAATTCCATCATTGCTTAACCAATTTAAGACTTGCTCATCAGTTCTGGCAAACCACACACTTAAGTCTCTTCGCTTCACACCTGCGTGTTCAGCCGAAAATCCAGTAATAAACACATCATCTATCCATAGGTAAGGAACTTGACCTGATACAGCTGATTTAAGTATTCTTTTTAATGTAGAAGACCTTGAGACGTAAGCCAACCCACTGCAGTATTCCGGATAATCATCAAATGGGTACTCGTTTCTATTGACTTTCCATTTTCCAGATCGCTTAGGCACAGTACCAGCCGGTACAACTCTACAAGCAACAGCATTAAGTGGAAGATTCAATAGAATTGTTTTTTCCAAACGATACATATCAACAAAAACATCATCATCCGTTTTCATAATGAAAGGAACGTCAGGGCAGTTCTTGAGTGACCAATGAAGTCCAACCAGATGCTTTAGTGTTAGGTTATTGTAAGAATCCGGCATATCAACAAGTATGATATCTCCATGGCTCTGTGCCTCGTGTATGATTCGCTGCCATACAAGATTTTGCGTAGAATGTCCAATCACAAAAACTGTTCGAATTGATAAATCGTTTGAAAAAGAACCCCATGTGCTTCGAATGGAGTTCCGATGTAGAAAATGAGCTGGCGCTGAGTGCACGAAAACCAGTAAAGTTGGGGTTCTTGAGTTGCATGGTTTTGCTGAGTTCTGATAATATCTGAGTCGCGTTACATCTGGCACTGGTTGCTTAAAGGCATCTTCCAAGTTGAGGAAATTATTGGAATTTCTTCGCTCATTCAGATCTTTTTGATCAAACGGCAGGTCATCCTCTTCAACTTTCTGAAGAAGGGAAATCAAAGATACGAGCAGAAAAGTTGTAGATAGAAAACATATGTAAATTAAAATCTTTTTCCAGCGAAAAAGACTTGAGCCTTTCATAAATCATTTGTAATCTTTAACCTTCCTTTACAATATATTCAACCTGCAATTTATAAAAAATATCAATTAGGCATAGAATGACCAAAAGATAAAATTCATATAAATAAAAGCAAATGTATTTGGAATGACTTCTGTTTATACGAAAAGGTAAAATATGTAAACATGCACCGGTGAAAACAGACATTGCTAAATTCAATCACTATAATACAACAGCTTTGAATATTTTAAGAACCTGTAATTCTCATAATACACATAAAAATTAGTCAACGTCGCGATTGGTGCTAGTTTTAAAATAACAATAATAATAAGTAATAATTTTGGATAAACAAATTTAATAATTTTAGGAAGGTTTCTTTTGTTCACCCAATGAATTCCATAGATATAATGAAATACGCAAATAGTGAAATTAACATTAAGGATCTTTGACTGTCCCCTTGACTAAACTATTGTGACCATAATTTCCGAATTACAGCCACCTCTATATTTTGACGATCTAGAATCCAGAGCCCTAGAAAAAAACATTTTTATACGTATAAAGCACATTTTGCGTCTGATTTCTTCATTTAAGTTATCTCTCGAAAAGAATTATTAGCATATTTTAAGTTAGCCCCTCCTGTTTTAATAACAGAATTTTATGACATAAAATCCGATAATTATATCAAAAGTCATGAAAGCGTTTCTCTTTACGTCCACTATCTTCATTGTTATTTAACAATTATGTTTAAAATTAGTTTATTTAAAAGTTTTCTTATTTAACTTACCGTATTGAAAATTCTCAGAGGGGAAGACTATCAATGGTTTGGTTTCAAAAATTGAGACCTTAACTTTTTTGAAAAGGAGCGTTTCGACTTCTGTTGATATCTTTAAACACGCAATTTATGGAAATATCCATTTTATAAAGCAGACCTACTTAAATAATTACCAAAATAAAAAACTCAAAGACTGAATGTTGTATTAACCTATTGATAACCCGATAGATTACATGCACGGTAACGTATCTCCTAACTCTAAACTTTTGTGAATTTTTCAATATATTTTATTTTTATATTTGAAGTGATAAACAAAATTTATACGTTTTCGCTTTTATTTTTAAATCTATAAATTTAATTTTAAAGGTTTTTGTCCACCACTACAAAGAAATAGATTAAAGATTTTCAGATAATCCAGAAAATAATCCAGGAAAATCTCTCAAATTCTGATTGTTCTTTCTTAATCGTATTTTCACCATTCTTAGCAGTTGACATAATATCTTGTTCAAACCCAGTGCTTCAACTTTATTATGATGATTATCCTGTACTATTATTGTTGCAAGGTTATATGTTGTTGTTTTTTTCCCTCTATGTCACTTTTTACATATTTCACACTATTTTTTTACTTCACTACTTAACTAAATCAGGATGGTTGAGATATGGGAGTTTGAAAGTAGAAACCGAACACTTTCGAGACCTTTTCTTACATACATAAATCTCAAGAATAGCGACGCATTCTGCAGTAGCCATGGTTATGTAAGCTATTCTTTCAGTTGACTGGAACACTTTGAATATCACATACTCAACATGGAACACTGCTTTATAGTTTTCGCTGCCAAAATCACAATTTTTTAAAGAACTTCGTAACTAATTTTGTAATTCCACAGAAGAAGAAAAATTTTCCTGATCAGAACGTAGCAAACTGTGTATTTCCATCTTATTCTGTAATTTTTTTTTAATAAATTTTTCAAATCTTTAATCGTTTTTGGTAATCTAAATAAAGGAGAATAAAGGAAAAATTTACACTTTTTTAATGTGCATATTACACTCATACATTTTTTAACTCTTTTTAGGGAGGAATTCAAAAACGGTACTTTTTAGTCATCTAAAGCAGTGTTCCCCAACCCCCGGTCCGTGGATCAAATGGTACCGGGCCGCCTACTTCATTGAAACTGTATTTAAATTCCTAGGTTTATACCCCAAATTAAAAATATCTGGTAAGGGATGGATCTGCGACCCATTTGTTAAAAAATCGGGTGAATCTAGCATGTCTGTGCAAGAAGATCAACTGCTGGAGATTGCAAGTGACGGCAGCCTTAAAACTACGGTCGAGACAACAACTCTGCCGGTATTCTGGATTAAATTCATGGCAGAATACCCCGAGATTGCCACCACAGCACTTATATCCCTATTGCCATTTCCGCCAACCAATCTGTGTGAAGCAGGGTTTTCGGCAGTAACAGCAACATTAAAAAAAAAGAAATTAATATCATGTTATATAGGCTGGAGTGGAGCTGGATTAGTGGTCAAGTCTTGGACTATATGGTTAAGGGTTTTTTATAACCTAGGTACATGCCCAGGGCTTGGAGGAAAGAAAAAAAAAGTAACAGCAACCGAAACAGAGCAACGAAATAAACTGGACGTAAGCAACACACTTCGGGTATCATTGTCTCCGATTACCCCAGATGGCACAGTCTCATTGCAAAGAAACAAGCTTAGGGTTCTCATTGATTTAACGTTCCAGTAAGTTAAAATATTAAATCACTTTATGTTTATTTCTTGGTGTAACTGTATTTTATTTTGAAGGCATGCTTAAATACAATTAAATTAAAATTAATAAATGAAAATAATCTCAAATATAAACNCCCCCCCCCAGCAGGCCGCGGTTAAATTATCAAACATTGACAGGTCCGCGGTGATAAAAAGGTTGGGGTATACTGATCTAAAGAGATAAAATTAAAAATGACAGCATAAAAATACATTTTATTTTTTTAAATTAGAATTTTATTTTCAATTTTTAAATTTGCTCTAACTACAACAAAAAAACAATTCCTTAGTTTTTTTTAAAACTTTTTTCAAGCAAAATATACTTTGAAGAACGAACTTGCATCAACTGAGATATGTTTTTCGATCGTAAAGTGACTAATTTATGTTTGTATAGTGTTACATCATCTCAGCTGTGTACTCGAAGTCTGTTCCGAAGTTGCATTAGTTAATTTTGGTCGCCGTTTCATAAATATCAAAACATTTTCATTTCCGAAGCATTGGAAAGAATAAATTACCATATTCATCCACGTAACAATTTTCTAGACTGAGCTAAAAAAAAAGGTACGTATTACAACATGTGGATATATCAAGTGTAGATAGTTTCAAGTTCACAGCGTGTATACTCCACCTGTACAAACATAGCGTTCGAGCGAACGTTATGAAATTACTCACAACTCACCAATTAAGTGTTGAAATTAAAAACCTAGTTAGTAATTTAATTACTCTGTGTTTACAAAGCAAAGGTAAACTCGATAATATCAATTGTCAATTATATAGCATCATTCAGTTTAGTGTTGCTTGTGGTTATATTTTCGATTGATTTCGATTTCACTAAGACAATTAATAAGTCTAAAAAAAAATTCTATGATACAATAATCAGATCTTCACGTTCTAGGACTCAATCTTAACGATTCAAAGGGATTTTTTTGCTAATTAATTATGGGAAAATTTGATAATTAATTATTGCAAACGATATTTCAAGTTACCAAAAAATAAGACACAAAAACGTTCTTTTTCTGAAAAAAACATACCTTTTTTTTTCCAACGGATTCGGATTTCTGAACCCTAAAATGTTGGGGGTAGCCCCAATCAGGGGAATTTGGGCTTAATTGTTCTGTCAGGAAAGCGATCCGAAGATTGGACAACTTATGTTAATTTTACTTGTTACGTATTTCATCCAAATATCGAAAACTTTTTAAGTTATTTGAAAAAATTTTACACGCAATTATAACCTTAAGTTAATATTTATTATTTTATGTAATTGTCGAAAAACTTTTGATTTGTAAGGTGTAAATTTTTTCACATCATTTTAATAATTATCCACATGTAGCAGCAGAGTTTATCAGTTATCACAGAGTTCATAAATGAAGCCCACGGAAGAAAAATGTTTTATGTCAGCAACAGCTCATTTGATAGGAGGGAATTTTGCGCGCTGAAAGAGAGGGTTTTTCTACAGTACGACACATCTACACTGTATAATAACTTTCTCACCAATTTTCGACATTATTGACTTGTCAAAACGTAGTAACCCAAGTGATGGCGATCCAATCTTGTTTTTGTGAAAAATGGACATACACCGTTTATTATTCTTTGTCTTCAAATATATCGGAGTAAATTGTTAAAATTTTAACAATTCTTAAGAGATGCAAAACCTGGTTAAATGAAGAGCTTAGGGATTTCACCGAGATAGTGGCATTTTCAGAGTGGCTAAAATCAGGGTAAGAAGGGGAAAAAAATTGGTATCCGAACTATATTATTGTGCATTTATTAGAAGGCGAGGATAATAATCCTTTGTCCTGCTTCATTTACCACTACCTAATTTAGAAAGAAAAAGAAAAAAAAAAGAAAAAAAACTATACTCAAAACTAATAATGATTTTTACGTTAAAATATAAATGAAAACCAAAGCAATCCTGTTACATTAAACATACCCGTAATGATGCGACCACTTTATGTTATTTTCACAATTCATAAATAATGTCATTTACCTTCACTCAAAACTGAAAATTTATATTTATTTCGAAAAAAAAAAGGTAGAGAGAGAGTTGGTAAGAAAATCATTGAATTCTGCTTGCTTTTGGGAAGAGTTACATAAACTCGACAAACAAGATTTTTTTAAACAGTAATAATAATTATATATTGAATCAAAAGAGTGGATTGGAAAAATAGAAAAATCTTCTGAAGAAGGGCAAAACCCACCCTGTTCTGTCGTGCCAAAGATGATGATGTACAACAAATACATAAAACTGTTCTTACCTCAGAAAAGTTAATAGTGATAGATAATTCTAATTATGAATAGTAAAGTCTTATTTTGTTCCTCTCGAAAAACAGATATTAAAGAAATTTTTTTATTATCAGTTTTTCTGTTTTTTGACATGTTTTTTGCCCTGCATCCACTAAGCTTTTCAAATATATACGCTAGTGGCAATTTAATAAGTCTAAAACTGCAATAAAAAATATAAAAAAGTATCCCAAAAGTTGTGAAGATCAAAAGTCTTTGACATAAATGTATTATTTTTAATATGCTT